CTGGGAAAATGGAGGTGGGGCAAAGGAAGGCCTCACCCATTTTTTTTCTCTATTCCGAAAATCAGATGAGTAGCATGTTCTTTAACATACTTGACCAAATGTTTAAGTACCGCAACTGAGTGGTTGTGGCAATCTTGGACTGAAATCTAAATAGTATTACATATTTCTATTTAATTATCAATACCAAATTAGGCTAATCCTATTAAACATTACATAATATATTTGTTTCCATGTTTGTATATACTATTTCAAGAACTGATTAGCAGAGATTTAAACCAACATGAGTTGTGAGAGAAGATTACAACAAAATATCTAAGATGTATCATGACCACAGCTGAACATGTTTTGTAGCCAAGTGTACATTGCAGCGCATGAACTGGACAACTTGTATCGCATTCCATTACATTCCTCCAATGAAGATTGACGAGTTTAAGTTCAGACCGCCATCTAAACTCGTGTGCTAACAATGACAAAAACGTTATGGATGGTTATCTGCCTTCATGCTGATGTCAATATTTCAGATGGCCATCTGTTTTCACATGGGTAGATGGTTATCTGCATTCACACTGGTAATATTCCAAATGAATATCTACTTTCCCACTGGTAGTATGATCTGCATTCCTGCTGGTAATATGGGTAGATCGTTATCTGCATTCACACTGGTAATATGGGAAGATGGTTATCTGCATTTATACTGGTAATATGGGAAGATGGTTATCTACATTCATATTGGTAACATGGGAAGATGGTTATCTCCATTCACACTGGTAATATGGGGGAGATGGTTATCTGCATTCACACTGGTAATATGGGGGAGATGGTTATCTGCATTCACACTGGTAATATAGGAAGATGGTTGTTCGCATTCATACTGGTAATATGGGAAGATGGTTATCTGCTTTCACATTGGTAATATGGGAAGATGGTTATCTGCATTCACACTGGTAATATGGGGAGATGATTAACTGCAATCACACTCATAATGTTTAAAATACTGTAGTTAACTGCATTCATTCACAGTGGTAGTATGGGGACCTGTATTCACACTGGCAATGTTGCAAACCTCTATCTGCATTCACACTGGCAATACTGTTGATGGTTATCTACATTCACACTGGCCATACTGTAGATGGTTATCTATATTCGCATTAGTATAATATTACCAATGGTTATTTGCATCACACTGGTTGCAAACGATCACCAGGATTTCACTTAGTAATATTACAATAGTTTAACTACATTCCAATAGGTCCACTGATTAATCTTAGATGAGATAGTATAAGATATACTCGAAGTATCAAAATGCACGCCATCATGTTGGGATTCAATATTTTGACATAATTATGTCATGATCAGGAATGAAAAATTATCCATATTTCCAAGCTTATATGTTTGTTTGTTATATGTTTATATGTTTGTTTGTGTTTGACCGATCAAAATATTACCCCTAGTAGGTAACATAGTTATGTATAAACTAAAGATCAAAGCATTCTTACCCTACTGATCAAAGCTACCTACAAAAACAAAAAAAGTTCCTTTGAAGCTTTAAGCCCATTGTTAAGCAAAGGGTGTAGCCTACACAGCAAATGTTTCTTTAAACAATAGGAGAGACCAGTTTTGGGAACTGTCTGTAATGTCAGTATTAGAAAATATTAAACCTAATTTATTACTTACATTACAGCCCACATTATCATTTTCAAATATACCTTGCAAACCTTAAAAACACATTGGAATGCCTCACAATTTTGTGCATGATCATTTATAACACTATCAGATCGTGAAGAACGTTCTTAAGCTGCAATGATGTAGCTTTAGCCTACAGTTAGTCAATGTAATGCTACAATGATATGTTATGGTATTTTAAAATGCTGTCACAGACAGACATTGGGATGCTGCACAAGTTAATCTTTTGACATCAGTCAATCAACATTTGCATAGCACCAAAATCACAGGCAGTGTTCATTGTTGCGAACTCTACATTACTAGCATTATTATTAATATGTTATTTGCTCATAATATTCAGTAATCCTAACTTCCTCAGATTCAGCCTTCAACAGCTGCATAAAAACATTAGACTTTATTTGTCAAACTTCCATTCCTTTTATAATTATAGGCATATGCCTAAAGCTGCTTACATTTTCGTGTTAACCCCAACATAACGTAACAGACACCCGCTCTAAGGGGATGGTACATGATACCGAGTAATGTGGATAAGGGAACATAAAGCCTAAATACAAATGTAAACATTTGTAAAGCAATACCCCATTCAGAGATGAGAATACATTAATTCGTACATTAGCGATGTATATTATTGCAGACGTTGCTAAATTGAAAATATTTTTTATCAGGTCGTTTACCTTCGGAGGTGTAGAAAAACATGCTCGCATTTCACATATGAGTCCTCAAACCAAAAAGACATGACTGTGCTTATTAAGCCCAGGGTGAATATTATCTAGGTTTTACAATTTTTATAAGAATGTTTATAAAAGGTATTTTTGTCCGTCAATTGCCCGCTGTCTATTAATTAAGGAGCAACGTAAAAAAAACTATAGATAATATTTTGTAATCTTCACATGACCTACTATTATTATCACAAGACCCTAATATTGTCATATGACCATATTTTGTGACATCATCAGTTCCTTAGAATGTTTGTTTGCTATTAGAGAGCATTTCAGAGGTAATGTGTAGTGACGGGCTGTGGGACTGAGTGACAGTAATCAGGTGTTTGGCGAGCAAGCAATCAATCTCTATAATTGCAGCATCTCAACATCCAACTTATATAGTCAACTGCTACAATTTTCATGCTACTTCGATAATCTATGCTTACCTATAACTCTCACATTATTTACTTATAACATATCCAACTTAATTGTACTTTATTCTGCAATATTTATGTTACATAATGATCTCTGCACATGTACAACATATCAAACTTGTATACTTCTGTTTTTGCTTTTTTTTTAATATCATAGGCACATTCCGCTAGATGGTCATGTAACGTATAGTGGGTATCAATTGTAAACATGCAGCGCGAGCAATGCTCGGTAATAGGAAAATGTGTGGATGATGTTGAATAATGTTGGTTGGAATTCCAGTAACTACACCAAATTGATTGTAAATTGAAATTGAGTGTTTTAGCATAACGGTTTGCTAATGTTCCAAAAGACACTGGCGCAAACATTATGATTTTTTTTTTTTTTTGAGAAATGCTAGGCCTAGGCCCCAGCATGTCTACAGCTGTTTAGGTAGGCCTATGCATGAGAGTCTTTGATCCGCAACGTGCCTTTAATTGCTAGTTATTTCTCACGTTAATGATGGGTGAATATTTTAGAAACCATAACATTACCCTTCTTCATACTTTAACATTGATCGCACAATAAATTCTCCATAGTTATACTCACTATATGTCATGTGACCGGCTGTAAACAAACCTTGCAGAACGTGTCTATTAAGTGCAAGTTTCACGTTCCCGCCCTCATCAAATTTCATAGCCGCATGGAAAAATTTACTATTTACCATTATTCTAAAATTATAATTTTTCTATAAAAAATTAAAATAATGACAATCTGAAAGTTTGTTGCCAAAGCCTAAGAGGTGGAAACATTAATGGCAGAATACATTACCAAAGATTCACTTTACTGCTTTTACAACGTTTATTATTTACACAAGGGAAATGCTCAGCAAGAAACTGAACTCCAACCTCAAAGTTGAAAAACGGAATTACTGTGCCAAACTCTTCTACCTGAATATGTGGTTTTTTTAGTAGAAAGTAAAAGTAATAATTATTTTAATTAATAGTCTACAAATAACACACGGCAGAGAAATAATCATCACAAAATGGTAAATTTGATATATATAGAAAGTGTTTATGATGGACCATGAACCACATTTATAAAAACTAGATTTCTTATGTCTATTCTATGTCTCTTTTATGTATTTCCTTCAGTGATAAAATGTAAGGCCTCAATGAAAGCAGGTAACAATCCCACATCATAATACATATTTTGAAGTACAAGATCTACATTTCAGCTTATTTTTCTGTGCTATAATTTTACGGTTTGTCTACGATCCATGCTAATTTGTCTCTTCATATCATTACAACTTCTACAACCTCTAGATTTTTTTTACTGTTTTTATTTTCATGTTTCTTTTACAAAAACGTGCATACATCACATTCACTGGCTGGATTTCTTGTGTGCGTGCCTCAGTTTAATCATTGTTCAACGAACCATGTCGGCTAGACATACATCTTTAGGAGGTAATCGCAAGCAGAATCATATTCATATGAAAGGAAATAACATAATACAAAGATAACTACAATCATTAATTTTTATCACTACATGTAAGTTCTATATACGAGTGCCTCATTTTGTTTGCTTTGTTATTTTTTTGCTGAAATCACTGAAAATTTGATAATAAAAATATCATTGCAAAGAAAATTGTTGACTCAAGCCTGTGGAAGTAGAAACGTATCAAGGAACAATGCTGGTAGCAAGGGTTTGCTGCTTTGGTGTTGTTTGCCACATTTTTTCAAGGTCATTTTTATTGTTTAAGCACAGAATGAGTTCAAATAAGCACAGAATGAGTTCAAAATACCACAGGAAACACTTGAAATATAATATAGGACCCTAGTCTAACCCTTGAAGATCAAGGTTTGGGATCTAATACAGGAAGGTCGGGAGCCTTATCCCGTTAGAATTGGGAACAAGCGCAGGAAAGCTTAGACCTATACCCTTAAAAAATGACTGGGAGTTGGCATGCAAACAGGTCAAGAACCTAAGCTATACAGGAAAAGCTGGGAGCTAATACAGGAAAGACAGGGACCTCAAACAGGAAGGGCTAGTACTGAGATTCAGTAATGTACACATACTAATTGCTGTCAACAAAGACAAAAGATAATAAGCCATACCATAGGCCTTCTACTCTATAACTGTTAAAATAATAATAGTAACATATTGCACGTTGCACGACCCCAGATTCTTTGCAAGGTCACTTACCCAATGTTCAAATGCTTTATTCATATCTAGGTTATTGTTCACTGGACAAGTAGTTTTCTTCTCTTTTTCTTTTGCACCAGGGTCACATTTAGATTTTGAGCGCCGTGATGACGGTGACGGTGGTGGTTTGTGATTTTGCATCCCTAGCATGGCGTCTGCGTTCAATGCTGAAAACATGTTGAATGCTTCAGAAATAAGCAAAACTTGTAACTACGATAAATTTATAATGTAATATGATCCAAGAAACGATTTAAAGAAGATAAAAATGGTCATCTCAATATTCCAAAAGAAAGTAGCCGTGACTGTAACGGAACTCATCAATATTTCATCGTAATTATTCGCCGATTGGAAATGCCTGGACAGCAATTTGAATTGTACACAATACCATGTAAAGATAAAAATGATATATTTCTCCTCGTTGCTTCATTTATCAATGGATTAGATCAGCGTGAATAACGAACAGACTGTTGTCATCTGAGCATGTGTGGTAGGAGATAGAAATCAATGATTGATTGGTAATAACAGTAATGGATCAAACCATACTCTCTTGAAACAAGCTTAGAAAGTCATTCTCCCTCGCAATTAATCAGCCTCTAAAATTATAATCTGAGGAAGTTGTATGTCAGGATGTTGTCCGTTATCGCAGGCATTCAGCAAACCCTCTTTACCACATGATGGTACTACCGCTGATAAATATATTCTACTTTCTTGACTGTTATGAATTTTAAAATAGTTTGTTGTAACTTGTGGTGAGCTGGAATGCTACCGTAGTTTACACAAACGGCAGGATATGTTAGAGAAGACGTTTGTATATGTTGAAGTGGCAGAATTGGACCAACACTTGGTCAATCCAAATGCTGTCAGCCGGAAATCTACCCACATCGGTTCTCTCAATGGAGGGAACTTCACCAGACCATACCATTATGCATCAGGGGGTGTTTCTAAAACATTACCACATATACTAATTTTGAAATCAATACAAGGCGGAAAAAGATTTATGTTTGACAGGTGCAGTATCTTTGATATCTTTAAATATTAGCATTGTGGATTAATGTGCAACAAAAGGTGTTCTAGATATATGATCATGATTGATCAACCCCCCTGGATGAAAAATAGACATGACCCAAAATCCACCTATTAGGTCTAATTTAATCAAGTGCCCAGGAGTGCACAATAACAAGGGAATTGTGAGATGTTCAATATATACCTCCTTCAACCTCTGTTATTAAATAATTGTGCACAGTGTGCGTCCAATAATTATCCAATAAATTTTATATCATTCATTGGTGATTAGGTTTCATCAACTGCTAATGTATTCATCATGTTTATGTTTCCAATTATGTGTTGTCATCATATCAGAGGACTGTTTCTATTTCAAAATGAAAACAAATTACCATCTTTTTCCTCAAATAATATTTAAGATGGAAATCTTTAGTAATCAAGACTATCAAATTTGATCTGTTTAAAATATAAATTCACATTTAAGAGGTTATGATAGTTATGTTTGGGGGAAAAAAACAGTATAAGGCCAAATAAATATACTTATTTAGCATCACAATATTCATTGCCAATATGTTATATACTATTGACTCAGATCGTCTGTCATGCACAACCTCTCACAAATACCTCAGCATAACTTTCCCTCATGATCTTTCATGGTTAGCACACGTTTCCACTGTCTCCACCAAATCGCTTCAGATTCTCGGTTTTATTAAATGCTTTGTTGCTTATAATGACCCCAAAATCCTCCTTTGCCTTTTCAATGCTCTCTGTAAGCCCATAATTGAGTACGCAGCTCCAGTATGGGTTCCCCATCAAATACAGCACATTTCTGCTATTAATAAGCCTCTGCACCTTGTCACCAAACTTTGTGTTAGAAAGAATTTACAGACTGACTTAATTTATTGAAATTATCTACTAGATCAGAGACTTATATATCATAGCATTATTTTTATCATTATCATCAAGTGTCTTTATAATTTTAATGATTTTAACATCTTTGATTTTATTGAGATTAATAACCGTAATCTCCATACTAAGATTTTTAAACATAAGTTTGCTAGGACAAATTCTTTTAAGAACTAGCTTTTTATCAATTTTCCTCGTTTGTGGCAATCTATATCCCCTGAAATAAGAATGCTTATTCTAGATAGTTTTAATTGTTTTAAAAATTCATTTTATAATCCTATATGTTCTCTGCAAATTGTTTAACTTGAATCTTATTATAATGTAAATTTTAATAACAATAGTCTATTGGTTATCTATGTGTATATTTTTATGTATAGCCACTTGATAGTGCTATTGCCCTTTTGGATATCATCAGGTAATGAACATCTTGTTTGTTGTATTTTTTTTGTCCTGCTTTTACCTGGATATTGAATTATGAATAAAAGTGAAAAATCACCACATCCACCTAAATTTTCAATTCAAAATAAAAGGCAGGAAATTTTTTAATTAAAAAAAAATGAATATTGTCCAAGAAATGGTAATCAAAATAAAATGTTTTCACCAGCCAGGTGTAATATTCATTGTAAGCCTATTGAAAATTATTAATTTTAACACTCTCTTTGTTTTGGAACAATTTCTTTGTTTTGACTAACTTTGTTCATAATGTTGAAAAATACAAAAATAGGATCATGCTTAGTGGGTGTGTGAGTTAGTAGCATGCAATCCAAGTTGTGGCATGGCCTGCTAAAATAGCATCTAATTCAACGAGGATTCGTTGATTACTAATACTTTGTAGATTGATTGTATAAAAAAATTGCCCTTCCCCACCTAAATTTTGTTGAGATGCGATGCTAAACAAGTTTTTTTTTTATTTGGCCTAATATATTTATAAATATTGAAATATTTAAAATGTAATGTTTTATAGCCAGACAGGCATAGGAATGGGTAATATAGATTTTTACAAATTAAATACTGTACTGAGGGAAAAGGGATATTGATACACACTATATTGAATTGTATTTAATTGATATTTTATTAGCCGTTCCCTACTGTTTTTTTTTTTTAAATATCCATTCCCTTTAATGTCTTAGAATATTAAATTGTAATATATAAGATATAAAATTTCTCCTCCCCTCCCTTCTCACAACCTCCCCATTTTCCCAAGTCTGGCTTTAAAGCTAAATAGCAATGATACAGTAAAAATTTATCAACAACAGTATTTCCACTATAAAGTGGGAGGCAGACTGAAAAGATGGGTTACCTTATAAACGATAACAACAATAATAGTGGACTTATTTGAGAATGCTTTGTGTAAGTATAGGCAGGATCATCCTAGACAAACTTGACCGAAGGCCCCGGTGATTACACCTGCCTACAACCCCAGGCTATTATTCCAGTCCCGGTCAAATAAATGTCCTAGTTCTATTGCATCACTATGAAAAGCTACAGTATGTAGAAAGGACCATATCACTCCATATACCATCAAACCTATCCTATGTCTGGATATGAAAACATATATAAAATCATCATTCTTGATCATTCAGGCTATGCATGAGGAAAGGTCACTAATACTTATCATACATAGAGCATGAAGTCAATTCTACTTGCTATCCATGCTAAGTCTGAGGATGAGGTCATTTCTACTTGTCATACAGGCCAGGGCATCTATATCCTTTCACTTGGCTTTATCACAGCTCTAGGCCATGATTATGCAAACTATGCTGGATAGATTGTCCGAATTCCATTTATAATCAAATTTGATATTTGATATAAACTATCATAGGTACTTTTTGATCTTTAGTTTACGAAACACATGTTTCGTTATTACTAATGTTATTAACATTTATCCACTTGTAATTAGTTATCTAAAGGCACTTAATTAGAAAATCTTTACAAGGTTATGAGCATGCTCTCGGATATTATACTGTAATTATAATGCCTAACGATGAGAAGAAACATCAACAATAGTATCTGAATATAAATTCAAAAAAAGAGTGGAAAATGGGAAGGAAAAATTAAAACCGAACTAAAGACCAAATTTCATCAGACGTATTAATACTCTCATGTAAAATTAGAGAAAACGGACTGCCAACGTATTGTGATGCCTTTACGTACAGATATCAGCCTGACTCTGGGAGTTCAGTGGATTTTCAAAGAAATATATGATTCTCTGCAGCAGCTAAAAAGATGGTTATGACCACATGAATTATGGACAAACATCTTTCCCCATAGAGGGCTCACTTTATGTTAATGGTTCAAATATAATGAAGTGTTTTGTTCTTCATTCTACAAAATGGCACAACAAATTACTGATTCCAGTGAGAATATCACAGTAAACCTCTTCTATTAAATTATTCATTTTGGAACAATTGCCTATGCAACACATAGTCAGAGCTTTTGCAGCGAGAGGGGGGAGCATTTAACAATTTTATAGTTAGTAATCAGCCTATCAGGTTCCCACATGTAGGAAAACAACATCAAGAGAGTAGGATCTAATAACTAGGATAATGAAGTGAAGGGACCTTGTTGGCATACTGAGCTATATAAAACCAATCTATTATTAATATTGGTGAATCAAACTACTGATCTAAAAGGTAAACCAAGGCATGGCCAAGGTAGTACTTGAGTTTCCATTCACTGTCTAATGTTTTTCCTAATAGTAGCCAGACTATAGAGGGCTAATATCTTTTTGTCTCATAACAGCCAGTCAATAGAGGGCTCACATCATAAACCTATCATGCCAAATTTATATTAATAGTATATCCTTCTATTTTGATTGGTTTTGAGAAATAATCTCTTCCATCTTTTATAACTCCTCTACCTAATACATATTAATAACATAAATTAATTAACATTGATTAATTACCCAAAATTTCAATATAAATTTTTCAGTCAACAAGTTGTCGTAATCTTGAAGGCTCCGATGAGGGCAGTATAATTGAGGCAGTAGATTTAAAGAAGATCTATTAATCAATTAGCAAGTGTTTCTAGGGCTCCTCATGAGGGCAGTATAATAAAGGCAGTAGATCTAAAAACAAGATCTATTATTCAATTAGCCGAGTGTTTCTAGAGCTCCTAATCGGAACTAAAAATCACAAATACAATATCATGCAGTCAATTTACCATCTCAATAATCCCATGACCATACTACAATACAAGCCAAGGTATCTAAATCTGGCTGGAAGTGGACAGCATGCTCGAACTCCCAACCACTAGGTTGAAAACCTAAACACACAACTGGCTTCCTCAAACTTGCAAGATAAATTCCTGATATATTCAAAATATCAGTTATTTTTTCCTTTGATGTCAATGAAATTTCTAAAGACAAGACTCACCCATTCCATCCGATGAATCAATCACGCAATACAATAAATGCAATCTATCAACTGATCAGTTATTATAAATATCAATCTACAAAATGATCACTTGTTTTTATGGATATGAGATAAATTCTTGATACATTCAAAAGACTTAAGATAGCATAATACATATTCCAAGTATCGAAATGCATGCCATCGTGTCGGGATCCAATATTTCGACATTAATTATGTCATCATCAGGAATGATTACTATTTTTTCATTATAATCACAGACAACTAAGAAATCAATCAATCAAATAGATCAATCAACTGACAACCTATTCCATTAATCTAGCAAATGATTAACTGATTGATCAATATCTGTCTCTTATACACATCTAGATGTGTATAAGAGACAGCTAATACAGCAGTGCAATTCAATACAGATACAGTATACGAGACAAAAAAGAAAAAAAAAAAGACACCATCCATCAATAATAATAGTGTATTCATACAGAAGGCCTATATGTTGCCCAAGCCTATACTGCACAAGCCTATACTTTATACAGTTTAACTCGGGCCTAGGCCTAGATGTTGGCGAAATTGTTAAAGAAAGTGCCCTAGAAAAATAATAATAAATAAATATACGCAGTTTTTACGTCAAAGCAAAATATTTAGTAAAATAAAAGTTGCTTGAGAAGTGTTAAGTGATTGTTTTCAATAAAGTAACTAGGATCTGGCACAATTAGATGATAAGTTTGATGGCAATTAGCGTTTTTTGTTGTAAAAAGTGACTTGTTAGAAGGATTATGCAAAAATTAATTAATGGATTACTATTAGTGGAAGAGACGACAAAATGTTTGAATAAAAGAAAACAAGGTCAAGGTCAAAGACTCCTTGCAAAAATTATTTTGAGAGAATTCAGAAAATTGTAAACAAATAACTATGAAAACATTGTAACTAAAACTTTTAGATATCATAGAAATAGCTGTTTTCATTACTATCATTTATTTTTTTAATTGATTCGCATCCAACAGCGAGTAACTCCCGAATTTCAAGGATGGATGATGCGTTATAAACAAAGTCTGTTTATGAGGGCTGGGGAGTGGAAAAAGTCCTGCTGTCATAGGAATTGAACCCAGGATCCTTGGATTAGAAGGCAAGCATCTTAACCACTCCACTATAGTATTTAACTTCACTCATTTCTAGCACGTTATCTTTCAAAAAATTCGTAATTCACATTTACTTGCCAAAGCGAAAGTAAGTGCGTCTACATAACAACACAAACGGTAGGGGATTCTTTTTAAAGACATACCACCTGAAGGTAAAATCTGGAAAAACGCTAAAAAAATTACATCAATACAATGAATTGCTCATTTAAAAAGATCAAATAATCAGATTTCAACGAGACATAGATAGAAATAATTAACTTTCCCTTCATTGAAGTAACAGTAACACTTGCACAATTGACAAACATTTCTTTTAATATTCTAATAACAGAAAGCTATTAACTTAGTTTTTTATTCAAGGGTGGTTTACCTTTAAATAAGCAAATCAATTTTTCTTCATGACTGAAGTTTCAACTTACCGGAGGAGGTTGGATCATCATGACTGAAGTCAGTTAAATGCTTTGTATTTGGGTCACTATAGAAACTTGTAAATTTGCTGCTTGTGACAGCCGCTAGCACAGCTCCCTGTAAATACAAGAAAGCTTTTCATCATTTATACATAAAATATATACTCTAAACCAAATTTAAAACTGATGATGGTTGTAAAGGCAAGCGTAATGTAACATTGTGGTGATGAGGTAAATGGCGATTAAAGATGACTCGAGTGCTCAAGCGGTAAGGCAGAGGCGCTGCTAACTACAGCCTTAACATCGGCGATGGTTCGAGCCACTTCTTGTCCAGGATTCAGTTGGTTGAACCAAGTCTTTTCGGTTAAGGACTTAAGCTTTGTCTACACTGTCAAATTTCATCAAAAAAGCGTCACATAAAATGTGATGGAACATGGAGTTGAACATGTCCAACTTTTTTTGATACAATTTGATAATATGTAATATGACGTCATCATACCCATATATGGGCACATCACATAAAATTTGATAGTGTAGACAAAGCTTTAAAATGGCTTCTGGCTTGAGTGCACTTTAAAGAACACATTCCGTCTTTTGGAAGAGTAGGGGGTTACTTTGATGCTGTGGTTCATTTCAGCCTCTGCCGTTGTGGAATGATGTGAACACAGAAGCGCCTCTTTACAACGACTAGGTTGTCCTGGAACAACTTACATATGCCATTCAGTACAATGATGCTGTGAGTTATGGATTATTATCCTACCTTTAAAAGAAAAGGTGTTGATGATTTGATGGTGTCAACAGGTCTTTTTTTAATTTGTTACAATATTTGGTTAGCTTATTCTTGGGAAAAAGGTCTCTGGTTAGTTTAAATTGACTCTAAGATGTTTGAAACACTGGACCACTGTGTGAGCACTACGCAAGGGGCCTATGCACAGTTATGGATAATGATGATATTATGATGACAAAGACAATGATGATATCATGACGACGATAATGATGATACTAATATTATTTACTTCATCATCACTTTACACATGTGTCATTATGAGGTGTTGGGAGTCAAAATGTAGTATTCAACAGACTTTAACCCAAGACTCTTGGATTGGAAGACGAGCATCTTAATCACAAGGTGTTCATCGTAGTCTACAATACCGCCATCATCATTATCACCATTATTACGTTGAGTTAAGGTATATTTTCACGATGTTGGAAGTAGTCATTCGTCTGTAATGCATACCTTAAGCTTCCTCCTGGCATTGAATTTCTTAAGTTCCTCAACAGTCTCATGCAGATGAATCTTAGGAGCAGTTCTGTCGCGTTCCTACAAAACAATACAAATTTGGATCAATTACTAAGATTTCCTGCCAACCCTAAATATTTATTAGTCTTACTTCTCGCAGGGCTTATAATAATACATGGTAGTATTAATGGTTATGAACAGGTAGTTAGTAATATGTAAAATGACTACATCTATATTCATGCACATGCTTGAAGGAATAGGAAATGAGGTAACTCATATTATAAAAAATAAAAATTAGTATGTTATAAGTTTGATATATAGTGTGGCAGACCCAAATATTTATGTAGCATATAATATTACTTCAGCTTTGTGTGCTACTGAAGTAATTGTTTAAAATCTTTTGGACTGCAGCTGTAGCATGGTTGTTAGATGATTGCCTTTTAATTCCAGGGTCCTGGTTCAAATCCGATTACTAAAACAGGTTCACTCTCTAATCCGGTTACTTTAGCGGATTCACTCTCTAATAGTTACTCGAAGAGGTTAACTCTCTAATCCAGTTACTAGAACAAGTTCCTTTTCATTATACTTAAAGACTAAAAAATAAAATCATTCCATTCTGAAATTGGCAAGTTACTCGCTGTTAGATGTGAAAAAAAAATTTAATTGAATTTATTAATATTACTATTTTAAAAATTATTATTTTCAATAATTATTTAAGTTAATATAATTAGCATTATACATTCATAATTGTTAACAATTATAATAATTTTCATTATTATATTAGTACTTTAAATTAATTTATTCAGGTCAGAAATGTTTAGTGTTTTATGTTTTACAAATATTTTTTTTTTTTTTTTTTTTTTTTTTTCATTCCAAATTTAGAATTCTGAACTAGAAATTATGGCTGGGTCCCTGAGAACCTGCGGTGGCCATATTATGATGCCAGTAGTATATCTCCTCTCACCTAACTCTCATGCGGGTTAATTGAGGAGACGAGCAATCAATTCCAACTAAAACCTGACTTAAACACAGGAAGCAGAACATTACCTCTTGGCAAAAACCATTAATTACTATAAATGCGCTATTTCATAACTAATCACAGGATGAACAGATATAGATGTTTACATTTTAAACAAGCATAACAAAATAAAATGCGGGCTCAAGAAAAATAGGTCTGCCACTTGAAAAACCGAAATGGTTATAACCAAGGATGGGTTTGCAATGATTGAAATGGTTTCATCCTACCTTACACGACCCTCATCCCTAATTTCACCTCGATTAGATCGACCGGAACTCTACAAATTTGGGATTAGATTGTGTATTAAGTGTACTTTATGAGTGATTCAAAGGGGGGATGAGTGAAGAGTGTGTACTCACACTTACCCTCAACCAGGGGTGATCAAGGACCTGTTCCACTGTGATACGTTGGTTTGGGTCGATTTGCAGCATCTTGGTAAGCAAGTCTTTGGCACTGTCTGAGATGTTTTCCCACTGCCTTGGTTTCATCTGTAGAAATACCATCAAAATATTAACAAGAGTAGTTAGAGTAAATGTGTAGCTAGTAAAACTGAATAAACTATATTTCACTTAGCATTTTCAGATGATTAGTGAAGGTGCACTGTGACCCTAAAAGTAATGATAGACAAATACCGGGTAAGTATATACACTTCGTACACTTTATTGGTTTACGAACACAAGATCATTGACATATGTGAGCTGTCGTGGGAAAATGAGTCTTGTGGTATGAAGAAATGAAAAATGAGTTAATGATATATTTAGATAGATGAATATGCAAGCTGTCTTTAAATCATGTTCCTATGTTAAAACATATTTTGCCTCTGATGATAAGCAACTGATAAATTTTATGTTGGTTTTCCTATCGACTTTGAAAAAAAGCTTTACAAAATGTGCCTCAAAAACATGTATACCTTAGGTAACTCAATTCGGAACTTTCGCTACTATGAAATATACATACTAAGCTTATCAGAAAAATTGAAAAACAAATTTTTGTCAAAGTATCACTTCAGATATACTTTCTTGAATATATGAAATTGACCTGGCATACCACAAGAGTCATTTTGTAACGACAGCTCACATATTTTCCGTATTGTGTTGGATGCCATGCAGAATAAAATTTTCTCCTATAAACCATGCTATGTACAAGTTATTGTGTACGCCATTTTCTATCGATAAATTTTGGACAAAAAGACAAATATAGTCTAAATTATAGATCCTTAAAATATAACCAGGCATGTGTTGTTGGGCTAATTTAAGTCACAGTCTGTCCATCTACATACCTATCTGTCTCATGTTCATGATGCTTCATAATACTATTGATACTCAAAATTATGACACTGAAAATTTGAAGTACTATCCTGTATATAGCGAAGCCATACAGTGTGCATCATCTTGATGGTCAAATCAAGCAGTATATCCTTTGTCTCTATTCATTCCTGTCAGTCTCTCTGTTCTATAAAACTACCTCTGTGCTTATCTGTCCATTTATCTGCCTGCGAGTCCATCTAGACTATCTGCCTATCTTAGAGCCCAATTAAACATAACTATGACTAACTATGACTGACTTAAAACGACTGTTACGTTCGCGGTTGGTATTTGAAGTCGACTCAGGGTCGCACTGCGAACGTTCACACTTTTTCCTTTGCGCTAGGTTTTTGCGTGAAATGTTATGGTATAAGATGTCAAGGTTAAATAAATAAGGTTGACATAGATAAATAAATAATAATAATTTTTATAATAATAAAACAAATAAATAAGGTTTTTTTTAATAAATAAATAAGGTTAATGTTATGGTATAAGATGTCAAGGTTAAATAAAAAAATAAATAAGGTTGACCGCTACAAAGCGACATTGGCAACCCAGGTTCGGTTTACGTTCAGATAGGAAGATGAGTCAAGCAGACTTTAAAATCAGACTAAATTTAGGTTGGTTCTGGGCCCTGAGGCGTAGTAGTGTGATTGGGCTCTTAGATGAGGATAGTAATAGTAATGATTATCATAATGAACAAGGCAATGTAAATATTGTAGCAAAGCCTTACATTGTACCGTCCTTTGATGATCATATCAAAGAGTCTTTCTTTTGTACCAAAAAATGGCAGACTACCACTCAGAAGAATGTACATCATCACACCGCAGCCCCAGATATCCACCGGTTTCCCATATGGCTGGCGCTTCACCACTTCCGGGGCCATGAAATGCGGCGTTCCAATACGACCTAAAAAAAAAACAAACACACAAGTAAAGCATATAAATGACTGGTAATCACTTTAACATTTTGATACAAACAGTGGGGTGCCAGCGATTGATGGAACAGACATATGTAACAGGCAGGTATACAAAAGCATTCATACATAAACAAATTTTTAAAAAATATATAAATTAAATAAACAACATTGAAAGCATTGAGTGCTCACTTAAATCAACTTCAGGAGCAATTTAAACCTATTAATATCCCGCTTAATTTGATTACCCTTTCAGCCAATTATTTAGTACGGAACTTAATGCTTCATAAACTAAGTCTCATTAGGAGGGTTGGGAAATAAGTTGTTTAAGCGATTATTAAAAAAGCTCGGCTTCTACAGGACTTGTAACCTGGACCCTGGAATTAAAGGGCAAGCAACTTAACCACCACGCCACAGCGCCGCTATGATATTAAATAATAAACAAATAACAACATACAGCTACCTTGTGACAATAAACATTTCACTATTATTAACAAATTTATCAAAAATACACATATTAGCAAAGATGAACCTTAAATAAAAATCACACATAGATGAAAAAAAAAAAAAACTATTTTAGCATATGATTTTAAATCTTTGTAGCTTTGGATATCTCTGATACCATCCTCAACAAAATGATTAAATTTGTCATTCAATATACATCATGCTCTTTGTTTTAACAATATCTTGATTTCAATCTACTCCCAGACCATGTAGATAAATTTAATTCATACCTGTAAGCTAATCTCTAAAGCCTTGGCATTACTAACATATTTTAGCTTGTCAAGTTCAACAATGTTTGATCAGAAATGGAAACACAAAATGTGTTTGATAAGATATCTAACACTGACCAAAAATTTCTCTGCTAAGTTTGACAAACAAAAATATAAGAAGTATTACACTCAGTTTTAGATGTATTTCAACATTGCTTTTTTGATGTACAAGCTGACTCAATTATTAATAAATAATTTCTAAGATTAGTTGATTGTAATGATGTGACAGTGTATGACTACATTGATTGGTGTTACTGTAATATATTGTGTATATTATATTGACAACTGTTTAGTTAGTAAAATAACAATTGTGTTATAAATTTAATTTCTGCACACTTCTAATTAAGACTCCCAACCAATGTTAAAGGACCATCAACCATATATATATTGGGGGGTCAAATTCATTTATAAATTCAAATTTGAAATGTTAATGAATATTTATAATACTTTTGTTGGTAGTCATGGTGAGGGTGGTGATGATGATGACGATGATGATGATGATGATAGTGAAGATAATAATGAAAATAACGATGAAGATGATATTAATAATTAATTATTGATATTAATAACAATGATGATTGTGGTGGTAGTGAAGATGATAATGATGATAATTAATGATAATATGACATTGGTGATGATTATAATCAGATAAAATTAACATATAATTAACAGATTGGGAAAATGATGTCGATAATTCTGAAAAAAATGATGATGATGATTACATGTGAATCAGATAATTTATAAAATGAATGATCACTGTGGGATGTTATGGTACTTTTGTCTTGTAACATCTACACCACATTTCATTAAGATGCCAATTCGTTTGAGACTTGAGCAATAAAAACACTGCAGTACTTAATTGCTAACTTTGTATGAACAATAGCGCTTTGACATCAACATTCCATCACACGACAAACAACGGTGCAATGGGATTTCTCCCTAATGGACAGAGAGCAGTGACGTATCTACGGGGGTGGGCGGGGACGTACACTCTCCTCCTAGAAAAAGCTTGCGCCGCCTCCACAATTATCCCTGAATGGAAATTTTCAAAGCAAAAAAATCTAGTAAAGATTAGTTAAGAACTCAACTCATTTTGGTAGCTAGCATCTCCTCAATCGAGCATGGAACCCTCCCATCTCAAATTTGCACCGCCCCTTCCAATTAGCTTCCCATTTCAAGACGCCCAGATACGCCACTGACAGGCAGATTTCTGGCCATCAATCCATGATCTATCCATCTTCTCTCTCTCACTCAATACAAACACATTATCACTATATACTGTACAAAGTGATTTGAAATGAATTGCGAGGGCAAAATTTTCAAGTGGTGAAGAACTGACCCGAGATGGAAACTGCACCATGATAGCAATAAATGAAGAAGCAAATACACATAAAAGCTAGTAAACACCGTAAATAATTCAATCATTAGAAAATGTTAGTAAACAGAGAGTAAATACTTTATTTATATATAATTATAGGAAAACAAATTTTTATCAAAAATTCAACAGTTAGAAAATGTTAGTAAATAGACTGTAAATAACTCATTTATGTACTAATTTTAGGGAAATACTGTTTATATAGTTTATTAAAAGTTAGAAAATGTTAGTAAGCAGAATAAATAATTAATTTATAAAGTAATTTTTAGGAAATATAGTTTTATTAAAAATGTGTGACATATTAAACGTTAAAAATTGTCATAATAATGCTACTCTCATTATATACAATAAACTCATATTAATTGAAAAGTCTGTGACGACCCAAAGAGACTTCACTTCTAAAACGGGCATAAATATTACCTTTCCTATGTATACATTTGCTAATATCAATCTAAATGATTTCTCAAAGTATTTTCCAGTAGAAAAGATTTATCTGTTTATCATACAATAACTTATTTGATCATTTGAAAAAACTAATATATAATATATTAGGTGGTTTAATAAGCCTATTCCTGCACTAGCATAGTATTATCACTATTATAATCATAAAGAATTGCATCTACGTTCACATCAGAGTTTACAAAGTGCTTAATAAGACAGTAATTAATTATGAATTTTTTGTTAAGGTATTATAAGGCTTACCTCCAGCTATTAAACCAGACTCAGGAAGCTGAATTGCAATACCAAAGCCTCCTAGTTTTACTGGCGCAGAATTCTCCTTTGTAGCTAACAAAACACAATGTGGCTAAAGCAATACAAAGAAAAAAACTGATAAAATATGCACATATGTTATCATTATGAACATAGATGAGAGAAAATGTTAAGATCAAAGAAAAACAACAACATTCTAAAAGCCAACGCAGGCAGCATCGTACAACACTTGCTTGAAGCAATTTATTCTCAAGGACAGACTTTACTTCGTCATAAGACTATTAAACATTTAATATTCTACGACATTCCTCAACGCAGACCTACTGCATCGGCACACAGACCAGACAAAACAAAACATTGTGTCGGCCTGTGTCGTAGGACACTGTCTAAGTCGGCACTGATGTGTAATAATAATAATAACAATAATAATAATTTGCAATTTGTATTTGTAATGACTTTTATAATATTTAGTTGTTTTTGTTCATTCATTCACTCGCTCACTTGTTCACTGGACTCTATTCACAATGAATCCATCCATACTTATTTGAGCCATCCATTTATCAATCTGTTGGTCCATCAGTTGGCCACTTGGTCAATACGTTGGTGAATGGGTTGGTCTATCGGTCAATTAATCTGCCCATCCATAGGTATGTATGACCGTCCATTTATTATAGTTTACAAAAAATTAATATAAATCATACTATATACCTTTATATCTCTATGTATTATATCATTCTCATGACAATATTTCAGAGCTTCCAAAATTTGACGAAGATAGTGGCTGAGGGGAAAAAAAGAAATTCAATCATAATTAGCATTATAATAAACATTTATTATAATAATTTTTTTATACATTTGCTACAACAAAGGATCAAAATAAGACCTCTCAAATGTGGCATCACAAAAGAATGTGGTAAACTTTAGTAGGGAACACAATGAGCTGACAGTCATTATCGACCAACAGCGTCAGGTCATCGAGTGCTCATAAAAAAATGGTTTTGTTGGCTGGCAGTTATACGACTGCCGCACAACGCAGTGTTTTAGTTCACTTTTGAAGTGTAGCAAATTATAGTAGCAAAACAAGCATGAAACAGGCACAATTTTATAAACAGAATCAGTGGTAAACAAACTGAAGTTAAAGTGGTTTTTTTATATTCATTATATACATCAAATGAAATAAAATATTTACAATCTAAATCTTTTAAGTTTGGAGGTTTAAGAGATCCCAAAATAATTTCCTGAAATGTAAATGTAACTTGATTTTTTAAAATTTTAATAATATCTGTCTCAGCAGGCAATGCGTGATCATCTATGATATTTAATCAGCCCTCATCCATTCACGTCACCTTCTAATTAGATAGCTTTAATTCACGAATATTTCCTAAGACCGACTGAAAAGTTGAAGGCATTGTATGTCAGAACTAATCTACCTGTGGCTTATTTCAAATTATATTAATTCTGAGAAATATTATAGGATAGACAGATTAACTTCACAGCAAAATCTAATTTACATCAAAAGCAAATGGATCTGAGCTGGGCGTAAACATTAAAGGCAATGTAAAGTAAGAATTTATCTCTGGTTTATTATAAAACTATAATTAACTCAAACAATATATGGGAGTGATAATCTTTATTACCAAGTTCAAGTGGAACAGTGGTATTGCACTGGGCTTCCAATCAAAAGATGGGATTCGGACTTAAGATTGGCTAATTATTATTAGGTAATACGCTTTATCTTTATCCTATGGAGTGAATATATAATTATTTTGGTAGGTTTTATTGCAAATGATTATCTAGTTGTACATTTGTATGAAAAAAACAACAGCGGAGCTTTTGTTAGAGCAGGTTTTATCTTGTATTGTTTGTTAGAAAAGCTTACTAAGCTGTTTTAAATCTTTTAGTGTTTTGTAATTCAGTACAACATTTTGTTATTAAAACCTTCAAATGTATTTTTACATGTCTTAATGTTCTTTCGTATGTAATTTCAATATAAGATACATCATAACGATACCTACCTGCTTTTATCAACTATAGTGTTATTGTATGTTTCTGTTAATAAGCCTTTAAAGTTATATTTTAATCAGTCTTCATACAGATTTCTTCTTATATCAATTTACAATACTACAAATAATATATATTACGACAGCAATTATTTTTATATTAAATATTATTAATTAAATTTTAATTAAAATATTTTGTGTGTAACCTTGTTATAGTATTTACTACTTTACATAATGAAACCAGCCATTTTTTATAATCGTAGGGCTTACTATTTATATACTAGAGTATCACATACCACAGCTGTTTCTTTACATTAGTGCAAATATAATTTTACATAAAATCAACTTAATACTTCTTTCTACAGTATTAGTATTAGATTACCGCTTAATATTACACTGTTATTTATCTTATTGAAATTATATCAGATATCCTATATTTGATACAACTGAATGCGAGACAACTTGTAATGTCTCTCTTTCGGCCCAAACATATAAATGTTCAATGTTGAGTACACACTCTTGAATACACAAACCCACTCACCCTCCTCCACACATGTGTACACAAACCTGTACACACCCACACCCACACTCACAACCAATACCCACTGGCACTAAGTAGCATACTTGTAATTTGTCAACACTCATGAAAACTGCAAATATATCAATTTTAATAACAATAAATAGAAAAGAATATATTTTGACATCAAGGTGGATAAAAGTATCGTTTACATTTTAATCACTAACAACCACTAACATGCCACTTTACATACAAGCGAAAAATGATTTAGAGCCAATCAAATTTTCTTTGACAATTACCTTTTATTACTATTGTTAGCAGTGACATTACATGTTTTAAACCACAGTGGATTAATTATTATATTTGTTTATATTTAGTGCAAACACTGAAAACTCATCCACAAATTATTTTCAAAACAGCTGGCTCTTGTGAAAAATTGTGGCACGTATATGCATTTCATGAAAGATGCATAAGAACTTTATTTCCAATTTGTAATAAGTGTCTCTCTTGAACAATCGATTATTTGAAATAAGTGCCGCGCTCTATCACAAGTTTGATCATTTAAGGCACAAACCTAATAAGGATCATCACTCTATAAACATAAAAAGAAAACATTAAAATTATATTGTTAAATATTAAATAGGTTTTAATCCCATCTCAGTATAGTTTAAAAGGGTTTAATTTCAAACGATTAAATTATATTACACTACGGTTATATTAATACAGTAACTTAAACGTTTATGAAAAAATAAAATAATTAAAAATGCTTTTGTTAAAATTGAATGTTTCAAATTTGGCCTTAATCGATAGGATTTTTGTATTATACATTAGTCTGTAAATCACTGAAAACTGAATTTCTTTTACCTGTGCTTTATTTGGAAGGAATAGAAACATTTATATATTATTTTATGTTCAAATTTATATTATTGGGAGTTTTTTTCTTTGTTTTTTGGTGGGAGTTTTTTCAATTTCTGTTCATCAGCCGAAATATTAATTTTAAGACCGAGTAATTTTAATTCACAAAACCTCCGCAACTTACACCCAGTGTAAGCCTAGTTAGTGTCTTCTGTCAGTAGATGAAATGAAGTGAAGTTTTTACTAATTAGCCTAAACAATATCTCATAGTGCATGTCTATTTATAGCATAAAAAAGATCAATGAGGTACATTAATTGTTCTCTTTGTAGAAGGGCAATACTATTATCATTAACAGGTACAATAACGGTCTATTTATAGCATGAAAAACATTAATGAAGCATACTATTCTTTTCTCCTTGTAGAAGGGCAAGAATTACCATTATCATTAACAGACGTGATGAAGGTTAATGTGGGTAAATGCACTGTATAACCATTGTCATGTTTTTTATAGAATTCGAACTGCGGGCATCAGTTTCAATGTTACTGATACTGCAGGAGCAAATATCTTAATTACATTAATACTTTGTTAAGGGGCAAGTGCATCAAGGTGAATAGTGTAGTCTGTTCAAAATTTATCATCTAATTCGTATCTTTACAATCACTATCATCATTATTTATTGCCGTACTACCATATTGTAATAGATAATAATTATTATAATTCATTTGTCTATTTATATATAAATTATACTTAGTTGTAAAAAAAAAATTTAATGGATACTCAAAGCCTAAAAATTACATATCTTCAGGTAACACAAACTGTAAAAATTAGATTTAATGTTTCAACACCACCCTTCAACCCCAACTCTTGATTGGAAACGAAATGCCTCACCACTGCACCATCTGCTACTTATGGGAACGGGGGTCTGAACATTTTCGGCGGAGAATAGTAAGGTCAAGAACTTCGCTGTTGGATTTCTGGTGATAAGCTCCTCGTGCCTACAAAAACCGGGTGAACTTGAGCAGTTTTAGAATGTATTATAACCAAAAAAAAATTTTTTTTGTCAGAGTTGTTGCTGAAGAGGGAGTGCGGGGCTTGGCATGTCTAATTAATCGCACTTCCCAGCTTGTGTTGCCTCAAACAATCAATGGCATAATTGATGTTCAACCTTACTGGTGCCTTACCTGGAAACTGCCTCACTGTAGACAAATCCTGAATTGGCTCTTTTTACAATTTCAAAGCATAGATCTGCACCATCCATACTGCAAAGAAAAACAAGTTGAAAAATCAATTCTTTTATTATATTTATTCATACTTTATCCTGTACATAAATTTGACAAGCACATTAGTCTTGTGTCGAGTGGCCGAGTGGCCGAGCGGTAATCAGGGGCACCGCTAGCTACAGCCTTAACATCGATGCTGGTTCCAGCCGCTCCTCACACATGGTTCGGTTGGTAGAACCAAGTCTTCTCGAATAAGGACTTAAAATGTCCAGTCCAGTGTATACATCTGGCTGGTGTGCACTTTAAAGAACCTATTGCATCTTTCGGAAGAGTAAGGGGTTACTCCGATGTTATGGTTCATTTCAGCCCTGTCATTGTGGAAAGATGTGAACATGTATCTACCAAGAAGCGCCTCTTTACGGCTGCTAGGTAGTCATGGACCACGCCCATACGCAATTCAGCACAATGACGCTGCGAGTTATGGGTTTTATTCTCCTACCTTTACCTTTACCTTTACAATAATTTCTCCTTGGGGATCAATAAATTTTTTTTCCTATTATCTTATTGTTAAACACCATGAATTTTTAACAAAAAAAATCCTTAACAATTTACATTTAATTTTCAAGGATCATTAACTTTCATGAAAATTAATTTGAAATATATTAGGTTCACAGATCTGGATCTGGATCAGAAAAGCTTGGTTTTTCCATACAATCGCTACACACTATACCAACAGCTTTCAGTATATACATTACATTATAAAATAGACATCGTAGTCATAGGACAGCATTATCACCATATCAGGATGTTTACATTTTAAGTAGGGATTAACACAAACTCAATACTATAATGTAAAAAATGTGTCAGTAACATAATACATTGCAAGATTACTAAGGTTCATCATTATTATAAATTTAAGCAATGTCATAATTAACCAATATTGTGGATCTAAGATGATATTTACAAGTACTGTGGCAAAATTAAATAGGAAAATCAAGTGAAAAGAGTAAGCTTTAGGCCCTGTAGTTCACCATAATAGGTTCTCTAGTGTATTCCTTTAATTGCTTACTTAACACAGCTGTACCTAAACAGTTTTGCTATGTTTTTCCGCTTCAAATGTCACATTAAATGTCAGCGAATTTATAAATTTCTGTATCATTAAACTTGATGGGTAAAACAAATGTGATATTTGAAGATTTTTTTTTCTGGACTTGATTGAAAGATTTTCAAGATGTTTGAAATGTCATTGAGTCAAAGGTAATAGATAAATAAAATATGATTGTATGGTTTGGTGATTCAATACCTGCCATCCACATACATTGTTCAGGGGTCAAATCATTAATATGGAAAATTAGAATCAACTTCATTTCCTACATCATGTGCCTCAGTGGGTTAAATCAAGATTTGTTTTCAAAATGCTTTTTTTCTAGTTTAAGTATATACTTAAAACTCAACAGTCCTGAATTAAAATCTATGGATGCATCAATTTTTTTTTAATCGACAATGTATGCGAACAGATAAAAAAGTAATGTGATAATTATATCTCAACATACAGTACATAGCTCTGGAGTCAGCTACATATAGTTGTAGCGTATTGCACAAAATATGTCAAAGGTCAAAATTTTTTTTTACTACTAAAACGTTGAGGGGATTACTTTTAATTTGCACAGATAATTCACTATTATTTTAATTTATTATTTAGTAATACTGCAGTTCATCTCATAGAAGACCAACCACCCCCCTCCCCTAAACACAAAACTTGGCAAATTTTTAGGGGCGAGCTGACTGTATACCCAAAAATTCATTGGCAATTGTTCAGCTGTGTGCACAATTCAAAGCCAACAATAGATGTTGATTAAAAATGCTTTCTATGACAAATAAACAATAATCTGAATTTGAAGAGTTAGTATAAGATCTAAATATAATAACAATATTAATACTACTAATAATATTAATAACAAGAAAAATAATAATAATAATAATGATAATAATAATAATATTAATAATACTAATACTAATACTAATAATAATAATTTTAAAAGGATTCATCCACCAATAAACAAGTACACTTTAATATGAAAAGACGAAAAATAAGTACATAGAAAATACAAGGCTTCGTGCAAGTTAAAATATCCTGCAAACTAAAATTAATTTGTTCACGTCTCCACAGTTAATTAAAAAAAAGAAAAAAAGTAATGAATTTACCATATTTTATCGACCAAAATATTGCTATTTAACATGTGATATATATTTCAAACAACATCTTTAAATTATTTTTTATTACATATTATTTTTCACCCTCACCATTTACTTTTTTAAACCGTGCCACATCATCATGCAGACACTTATGGTGATAGAATTTGATTTAAGAGACAGTTTTAGCGAGGTAGAAATTTAAATATCGCATGTCCTAGATCATATTGTGAAGAACTTAGTATGCTTTATGGATGACTCGACTACGAGGTGTCTAACTTTAAGCTGACAATCACTCACTTTAACATTATTCTCTGGAGTGTTAACACTGTCACAAATTAGATGTTAATGCATGTATATTATAACATAGTACCAAGTACTAGGCCTTGGATGCATTATATGATATGATATTTTTGATGGGGAGAAGATCACCAAGTTGTGTAGTTAGTATTCTATAATTACAATATGTTGTAACTTAATGTTGTGAATGGAAACCAACAAGTTGTGGGCCTAGTGCTTTCCAGTGGATTCCACCTAAACTGTTGTTCCTGTGATAGGCGCTATAGAAAACTACCACATTGTGAATTTTGGGCCTAGAAGATATTGTTGAATGGGAAAAGAACCAAGTAATGTAAACATGTCCTAGAAGAATGAATTATGAAGCAAGTGGGAAATCTATGAATATAATTTACTATACATGAAAGATATTATTTAAATATGATAATTTGTATATTTCCAATTAAAAAGTTAGTTTAAAAGGATAAACAAGTTAATGGTTATGAGTTTATGTTCTTTGAAAATAGGAAAAATTTTTATTTTTAATTTAGCATTTGCAATATTATGATTTATTGGAACATATGTGCCATAAAGGTATAATTTCAATAATTATAAATTATTTATATTAATGTTAAAATTAGATTCAAATAATCAACATTATTTGCGATTATCAAGTTATTGATAAATATAATAGAAATATAAATTACAGATATTAAGATTACCACAGCTCACTGTGTGTGCTCACCAGTAAAACACTAAAAATCTTTCAGAATTGGTACTTGCTTAAACCTGCATCACTAATGTATATGACGTAGGACCTATGATATTCCTACTGAACTACGAAAATATGTAAATAGATGAACATTGGAATGGGTATGGAAAGCGCCACGCCAATATTCTTTAATAAGCGTGCTCTCGAATAAGCACTGCAATTTTATAAGCGCCGCGGTGCTCATTCAAGCAATTACTGTATTTAAAAAAAATTTAGTCACTTTGTCGATATTTGATATTTAAGTTCTATAATAAATATTCACATTGACTGTCTTCAAGACATCCTAATTATTTAAATTCATATATAATGAATTATCTGATAGTTATTTTCAAAATATTTAATTATTGTTCTATAATAATCAATATTTGTATTGATTGTCTTCAATCATTATTGATCGATATGAGCATCAGAATGATGGACATCGGATTTCAAACTAGGAACTCCAATTAAAGAGTATGTTAAACCCAGTCTACAAATTCATTCAAGCATAACACACAGCGACAGCCATGATCATCTTCAGTGTTTCCATGGCGGGAATCAGGTGACCAGCTGTCCTAACACGTTGGTCCATGGACTCACAACATCTTCTGTTTACATTTCACGCAGATTTTTTACATTATTAATCTCATCTTCATTTCTCGACTTCTATTATTGATTCTCGTCTAACACTTGGTGCGATCATGGCGTTCCTCCCGGGAGAAGCGCAACATCAATAATTTCTCAAATGACATGAAATGATGTCCATTACAAAATACTCTCCGACACCTCCGAGGAGCCAGAGTGTCTCCGATGCTCAAACTCTCACTTAGTTTTAATGATGATTTCCCAAGAATAGTTTGTTACATCAACTAATCGCTGAATAAATTCGGAAAATCTTCAATTTAGAATTTTCTTTGAATTGGAAAATGGTATTATTAATGTTGAACGAAAAAAAAAAATGGGTATTTAAGTTTTTTGACACTGTGATGTCTTGCCAAGGAAAGCAATTTTCATCAAATGCTTTTTTATGTCAAAAATAATATGAATATATATCTGGATATTCCTTGCACTGATTATACAAGTTATAACATTTTTTGTGTAAATGGTATTTTTTACAGTATCGTGTGATGATCTAAAAAACCCTTTTGGTTGTGTTGATTGGCTAAGTAGTAAGGCAAGATGCGATGATAATTGGTTTAACTGGTCCAAGACTCCTCATCCATGATTTGTTGGTAACATCCAGTTTGTTCAGGTAAGGTCTTGAATTAAGTATTTGCTTTAATTTTCACCACTTCGGAATTCAGTGCTTTACCACTGAATAAGTTAATCATTATAAAGACAATAAAAAGAAATAAAACCAAAAGGCCGATGTGCACATCTGGCTCGTGTCCACTTCTTCTTTCTTTAAAAAAAAAATATATATTCTATCTTTCAAAGAGTAAGCAATTACCCTAAAATGCTACTTAACTTTATCCCTGTCGTCATCGTGGAATAATGTCAACATGAAAATACTAAGCGCTTCTCTATGGCTCTTACAGCAGTCACGAGCCACGCTCAAAAGGCAAATATGCACAGTGACGCTGCAAGTTATGGGTTATTCTTTGGATTTTACTTGTAATAATGGGCCTAAATTATTTATTTACCGACTTCTACTTTATTTATAGGCAAAACTTTTTGTCATGTATAAGGATAGTATAATATAATTTACTCATAAACCCTCATAATTCAGCACTGACTTTGTTAATCAAATGATGACATTAAACAGGTATTTATTGCATTTTTCTTGTAGTTTAGTGCTTGACAGTAACTAACAGCTGCTCTAGAGTACATTATACTATAGAAAGTATTGATATATTTAGAAATTAGTTTTTTGTGATTTTACTGGTCGATCACAAGGAACAATCAAAAATCTATAATTAATGTAAAAGAAAAACAAACGATTTGTTGATGAAAGAAAAAAAAAATTAAGCAAACTAAAAACATCCACATAATTTAGCAATGGAACTAGCCACAATGAATAATTTAAAGCCCCTTCTGTGCAACAGGTTTTAATTTGAGAAATGGACAAGATAAACTAGGTAGGGTTATTGTTTTGGTTCTTGATCAGCTTTTTACTTAATATTTGTTTATTCTGATTATTTCTAATACATTAAGGCTGTTGATAGAATCCGTGACTATATGAAGCACTAAATATGAAATCATTATTATTATTAATATTTTTATTTTCTCAAACAGGTGCTTTAAAATTATTGTCATATTTCTTATTTTTCATACAAAATTTGGACAGTGTATTTTCAGTGATCATTTTGTTATCATACTATGAAACAATGGAGCCAATTAGCAGTGAATATAAATTAACAATCTAAAAAAATGCAAATCACTAGATCTTCCGAGTGGCATATGAATATTCATAAGGACCATACCAAATAAATAGGTATATCTCATTTGATGTACAGTATAATAATGACCATATTGATTAACACAGGGCTATAAAATACTAGCCTGGAGTGGTACTTGATGAAGGTTCAGTTGAAAAGTAGGTCTAATGAAGTTTAAGTAGTGCATTATGAATGTTACGATCCGAATGTTAAGATGTTAAGCGGTACTTAACCAAGAAGATAAGAAGTGGTTATGTGTGTTCAATAGTAGTCTTGAGCCTTATTTATAGTAATTGTAGTAGTAGCAGAGGTGGATCTATGAATTCAAAATAGAGGAGGGGGCCAGAGGAGTACTTTCACAGATGGAGAATCTATACCACCTCAGCCTCACCATGGTTTGGGCTGAGGTAAGAAAATTTGTGATTATGGCACCTCAAGATGGTCGGAAACTGCACGCTTATACTTAAAATTTGAATATAATTTTCTTTATATCTCCATTAAAAAAAAAATGTTGAACAATTTAGAGGGTGCCTGGGCTAGCTGGGCCCCCCTTGAATCCGCCACTGAGTAGTACAGTATTATGTACGGTAGTTACACTTAACCACCAAGTTATGTACAATACTGAAGATGTGCAATATGTACTGTCTTCGAAATAAGTAATTAATTGTTTACAAGTAAATTTTGCCTTTGGTCCAACAACTTGTGTCCTATTTTTTATGTTTTTGGGAATAAAGGCGACCGGACCCTTTCAATTCAAAATATGTGAGTGTTACTGCGCCATTGAACATTGCATTCTGCTATGGATATTGTTGCTTTAAGCATGCCTGTCGATTGAGCATGCCATGAAGGATAAAATTGAAATAAACACGCTTAGAGTTTCTTAATTTTTTTTTGTTTAGGAACACTCATGTCTTTTTTTGAAGTTTCATATTAAGTTTAAGTGTACAGACAGCAAACGATCATTTGATTTAAATTTACTTAAACTCAGGAGATTTGAAAGTAATAAACAACATACTTAACATGCAAATTTGATTATGGTAATGATAATGATTATGGAAATTAGCAATACACACTCAACATTCCTAAAGCTAATGAGTACGTCAATGATAGTGCTCAGGTCAGTGTACAGCTCATCATGTACAATGGATCAAACTTCTTTTATTCTCACCATATCTTCTCACTTTTGAGACCACAATGGCATATTTCACTTAATTCCAGGATATACAATTATGGACTACACAAATATTTGACAAAGCAAAACAAATATGAGAAGAAAAATAGGTTGTTGATTAAAAGAGTGGCAAGGGAAAAAATAAACTCATATACACAACTGATTGGCTCACACACCAGGTGCAAATCTGCTACAATTTTCCACGAACATTGTATCAACAGCTTAATCCAGACATTCACTGCACCCGATGCGATCATTTTTAATGACGATCCTTTCAGACCGCAACTGACAATCAGCAGATGGCACTGCGTCGTATAAAGCGCGTACAAGCAGCGGAGTTGGATTAGTTGTACCGTACGACCGTCATAGAACATAGTGAACGCCAGACTATAAAGGAATCTTCTGAAAGATTGCTCTGTTATATATGGCTATATAGTTATTTGTATTTCATCCTTCTATATAAAACACAAGTAGAGAAGCAATGGGATATGTAATCGGGACTCAAGGATCCATACGGTTCAGCGCACTCCAAGTGGCTACCATCAAAAGGCAATGACCAAGCTTGCTGTACTCTTACTATTGATAAGAGTAATCTTAGAATATACTTACTATTCAAAGACCATGTACAGCATTCCATCTGAGCTGTAAGTTTCCAGTAGTTCAACGATGTGAGCATGCTTTAACATATGACAGATACTTGCTTCTCGTTTCAAATCTATAAAAAGTAAACAAAAATTAAAAGTTCAATTATTAAATCTATTAATCAATCAATCAATCTATCAATCAATCAATCAACTAATCAATAGCAATCGGGTACTGCTATATGAATACTTGCTTCTGGCATTTTTCATGTTTCTCCAGGTCGGTTCCTTCAGACCCATAACCAGGATTTCTTTAGAAAGAGGAGTTGCCAGGTCCAGGGAGCCGCTTAGCTCCCGGAGAAGAAATCCAGTGGAAGTGAGAGGGCCTTGAGCTATAGCATTGTAGCATGTAAATGGAAAATTTTGAAAGTAATGCAATGAAAGGAAGATTGTTGGTTTATCAGCAGAAGGGCTTCACTCAAAAAAGTGGGGGTCGGCCGAACTATAGGAATGGTCTCTTGTATTTCGGGCCTGCTCTCTTCTTAAAAGCTTTTGTTTCTTGCTATCATGTCATCGCACCATCATTATCAGAGTAAAGACAAGATTCCCTAGCTCTATGAAGCTTCTGCAGATACTGTGTAAAACATATGTCTCAGTACAGAGTGGAAATTACAAAAATGCCACAGAAATATCATTTAGCCTACATAAAAAACACATCTATAATACAACTCTCAGCGATTTTTAACAGACGATCTGTAAACGTGACCCTGGATTAGAGATGCAAGTATGTAATAATACTACAATACAAATACTGTTGCTTGTAGCTTGTACCTGGAACATGCATCCTAAAATGAGTCAAATTCACCTCTTCTCAGCTAATAGTCCAAAGTGTCACGCAACATACGCTACATAAAATATTTCATTCACTAGTGAAATTCTAACATGGCCACTGAAATAGATTTTATAAGGTTGAGAAATCTAAAGGATAATGTTGATGCCAAAAAAGCTCTTTTCTATTTTCTGATACAAAAATCACTCTCTAAAACAGAGTGTTGAAAGGAATATTGGAAGATCAATTTATGACATTTTAATGGCAACTGTCACCCTATATTTCATGTGTCTTCATATGACAGTATGTTTTAGAACATTAATATTTTTACGTTCAACAGAATTGTGTTAAGCTGATGAGTTTCAAATGTAAAATCAATATTTGAATCGTTTATTTTGAATAGGAGTTATTTATTATGAATATTCAATGGGAGGGAAATTAAAAAACGTGAAAGTGTTTTTCTCGCTAATTAATACACTGCATGTGCTAGACCTTAAAGGAGGGTTTGGGAATTAAAATATCTTCTGTATTTCCTCAGGTATATACCCACCAACTATTTTATGCCCAATTTTACATACCCAGCTTTCCTCGGGCAAAAAGCCCAGGGTATGACATTAAAGAGTAGCTTAGTTGTCTTTTTTTTAAATCAATGATTGGCTCTAAATTAAAAATACCTGTAGGCATGCAAATGCTGAAAAAAAATACCTTCTGATTGAAAATGAAATTCCATGTGTGTAAGCCAATTATCTAAAAATTGTCACAATTTTGTACTGAAGAAGGGGGGTGTACACAAGGCGTTATAGCATTTAAATATATATGTACCGGTAGTACAATTAACTATGACATTATTGTTATAATTTTCTCCGAGATCAGTAGTGAATAATTAACTAACCAGCAAAGTGGGTCCTGATTCATAAAAGGTGCTATTACAAAAATTCAAAGTGTTGAAGCATAAAATGAGAACTGAATCCATTCTTTGTTTTGATATTTTCACCAACTAAGGTAGTTTTGAGTACTTTATAGTCCCAATCTCCCACAGAACCTATAATTCTGCTTATTGTATCTACAAAAATGTAGAAAGAATTGATCTTATAAATTTAAATGAGGTCATTGAAATAGATGTTTCTTTTAAACAAATACTTAAAGATGTAAAAGAGAGTAAACATAAAAGAGAAAAAAAATATTTGATTTATTAACTTTCAATTGGCAATTAAAAACAAGATTTTTTTTTTCACTAGTTAAGATTCAATGTCATTCTTATGTTGTTTTGCATAGAACATTAAATTAGCAGGTAAATTAATGTTTTGAATACATAGGAGAAAGCCTCTAATTCCCCACAAAAAAAGCCATCTGTTGCAATCTGTCTCGTTGAAGGTTATAACTTAAATCCTTTAAACAAGCAACTCAGTGTTTTAATTAAATTTGCCATTTTCACCAAAGACAATATACCTTTAATTGCAGAAAGATAATATTTTTCACCTATATATTCTTGGTCTTCTTAGGAATATTACAAGAGAATAGAGTCATTTTGAGAATATAAATGTCAGCTTTCGTTTTGATTTAGCTTTTAAATCTGAGTACCGTATTCCAATAACACTTTAAAAGTGATACTCAATATTACTAGTTTTCATTGTGCGCTTACTTTCCATGTAACAGTGAAATTAACCATGCATAAATAATGTTAGTTTTACAAATAATAAAGATTCTATTTTTATCCACAGTACTATTATATTGTTAACAATCATTGCGTTAATACTTACTGGTAATATATTATATTATTTCATTGCTCATTTTTTTTTTTAATTCATCTGTATTCAGGTAATTGTATGCTTTCCCATGAATAAATTAATTTTAATGTTGGTTTTACAAATAAAGAGATTCTATTTTTATCCACAGTGCACTATGTTATTCATAAACAATCATTATATTTATTGTTAATGTTTACTGACGAAATATGCTATTCCAATTCTTTTTTTTTAATCCATGTGTATTCAGGTGAAACACTTTCCCATGAATAAATTAATTATAAAGAGATATTTTCACCCATAATGCACTGCATTAAACAACTTCAGTTAAGAGATATTAAAAGATTAGTTTAATATTTGTCTTGTTTTATTATGTGTCTGCTTTCAAATGTGTGTAAAATAAATATTAGGTATACTTTACGGTACATGGTTAATGTTCCGTGGGTTGTTATAAAATATATTACAAATTGTTTCTCTGTTTCTTTCACATAATGTACTGCATTAAACAACCTTAAATAAAGCTCTGGCTACACTATTAACTTTAAATGACAAATACCTATGATTTGTCAATAGGTGTGATATGACATCATCATTGCCATATATAGGTGTGATATGACATTATCGTGCCCATATATAGGTGCGATATGACATCATCATGCCTATATATGGGTAAATTCAGGCGATACTTACAGTTGTCAGATTTGATTATGCGTTTTCATTCACATGTGTACATTCAGAAAGCTGTACCACGGATGAATAATGTTGAGTTCACAACATACATTGAAAGTAGGACGTATATAATAGTCAACGCGTATCAGTTATGAAAACATAGACAACATACACGCATAGTTCAACAACACTCCAATTATTATTGATTAGAACATAATTTCTTTTTAATTCAGTCCGTTTTATTTTTCATTCTGATTCTTTATTTCTACATACACGTACATTCAACAATATGATTCCTACAGGGACTTTGGAATATAGTAGGTTTATAATATTCTACATTAATATCATATTTCATTTTCTTTAATCGAATCAATCATTCACTACTAAAATATTCTATTTTAAAAAACATCAATCTAAATTTCTATAGATTTTTAATATAATAATTAAATCGATCAAGTATTTTCATTACCTATTTATATATTCAACAATAATAATTATGTTAGACTATACTTAATAAATTTAATAGTAAATATTAAATTTTTACCAGATCTTAATTATTTTCTTCCCCATTTCTTTGTCTTTCTATTTCAACATCCAACCAAACAGCAAATGTGCTTTATCGCTTTAACTTTTAAATTTTTCAATTATTTTATCTTCTTTTACATCAACTACAGAATTATGGGATCAATTATACTAAATCTCAGGCTATCTTTGAAACTTAGGGTATGCAAAAGTTAAATTCTGTTATGTTATTCCTTGCCAGCCAGCTTTTTATCTAGTTCTATCAGTATAGGAGGCACCCGACTCCTGGGATGGCCGAGACTCAACTGATGCTGGACAGGGTACATTTTGACAGATTTCTGCTCAGCTACAACTCCACTTGAAACTCTTTCCAGCAGTACACACAAATTAAAATTTTAAAAAAAATCAGATAAGCTAATTTCACTCGGGAGGAGGGTTTGGTTAAAAATTCTAAATCTGATCTAAAATTATTAATTTTATCTTAAATCAGAATTATAAAACATTTTAATCTATAAACAAAGCCATTTTAGCATTCATTACTTATTCTCCATCATTATAAATATTATCACTAATACTATTATTATTGTTGTTTTGATTTATCGATGTGTTTTTGTTTTTCAACGACCTGTTCTCTGGAGCAATTTTCAGAGTGCACATAACTAGCCTAGCAATACAAAACAGAGACATAAAATCCTTAACATACAAACCTATAAAATCATTTTTATTGTGACTTATACTTCCTTGTAGATTAAAAAAAAATGCTTTATTGGACGGGTGCTGTGAAATGGTACATACTACACTTGCCTTCCTATCTGTAATTTTCTAGGTTAAAATGTTTTAGAAAAAACAGTGCAACAGCGTTTCTTCCAAGCGAAAAACATGCTCTTCACAAGAGAGTGATCAAACATTCCAAATGGTTCTATTTCCTAAAATAATCACCATTAAATAAAAATGTAAGTTAAATTTAAACAAAATTTAAGCAAGTTAAATTTTAAGAAAATATCTACGGTAATAACTAAATTTCTTTATGAACATGAAAATCCAAAATGTATTCCAAGAAGTATTAGAAGGAAAAATATGCTGCCCTCATACACCAATATTCTACATGACCACATGATTATTGTCAGGTGACCTAAATTTGTACACCATGTGACTAATATTTATTACCACATCAGCTGATGAGAATGATGTCTACATCAGGTGAGCCAAATCATTTCAGTTATAATTGTGGCCATAAACTCAAGATATGTACATGTTTGTGCTATCTTTTTGATTTTCACATTTTGTGACATGAAAGAAATTGACCTTAGTGATTTATACTTCAGATGACCCAGATTTCTATCATGTGACCCAATTTCGCTGATCAATC